ATCTCTGTTCACAGGGTAGAAAGGGATGGGCAATTTACACTTTGGCTACCTAAAATGAGGGGGCAATAGAGGCATGAAGTGACTGGCTTATAAGGTTTCACGAGGGAGTTTAGTTTAAGAGTTTGGGGGGAAAGAAAGAGTCCCTACTGAATAGCTGCCATCTTGTCTAGATGGGTCTGGTGAAAAGAGATGGGGATAAGATTCGTGGGGATAAGATTCGTAAGATTCAATAGTGAATAACTGTTATCATGACTAATCGCAACTGTACCAATTGTAAAGGTAGAAGTTTTGTAAACAAAAAAAGGGGAGTGGTTGATCTTACAGTCCAGAAACAGAGGACCCTAGGACTATCAAGAGAGGAACGCACAAGCAGAATGCAGGACCTTATCCAGAGAAGCAACAGTGCCAGCGAAGGAGGCAGATATGGGGGCATGGAGAGGGGAAGCGGCTGAGGACTCTAGATTCATGGACTAAGAAGACAAGGACTAAGAGCTGGTGGCCGGGAGCCGATTTGCAGAATGTGCCCTTTGGAGATGTAAATTATTACATATGCCTGAGTGGTTTTTATTGTTTGTGTGTTTTTTAAAAAGCTAAAGTGGATAGAGAGAAATACTGTTAACTGATGGTACATGGAAGGGATTATAATCAATGTCATGAAACAAGTTGTATGATTTGTTGAATGTAAAACTGATGATATTCTCTGTAAACTTTCATTCAATCACAATAAAACCTTACATTTAAAAAGAAAAAAAAAAGAGAGACAGAGAGTAGCAGAATGGATCCTTCAATATGCTGTCTACAAGAGGCACATTAAGAAGATGGAGACAGCCTAAATGTCCATCAACAGATGAATGGTTAAACAAACTTTGGTAAATACACACAATGGAATACAATACAATAGTGAAGAAAAAACCGATGAATCTGAAAAATCTCTCACAACATGATGAGCCTGGAGGACATTATGCTGAGTGAAAATAGCAAAAGACAAACATCATATGAGACCACTGTTGTAAAAAGTTAAGAAAAAGTGTTCTTGATAAAATAAGCATTTTATGATGGTTACTGGGGTGGGGAAAGGGAGAAGGAAAATTATTCACAGGCTTTAGGGCAGACTGATGTTTACATGATACAGCAGGTAATATACAACAAGAGGTAGATTGGGGGAGGAAAGATGAAGGCAGTGAGAGATACAGGATAGGGAGGAATGCAAGAGTTAAAATGAATCGAGATAAATACTGTTAACTGATAGTACATGGAGGGGATTGCAAACATTGTAATGAAGCAAAGGAGGAATTGCTGAAGGTAAAACTGATGATCTGCTCTGTAAACCTTCACTCAATTCACAATAAAATTTTTAAAAAACAACTCATTATGTTAAACATGGAATGTTTGATGACATATGCTTCCTTAATCTGTATCATGTTCATTTCAGTAAGATATAGACTAAGTGTGGAAGAAGCCACGGACCCTTCCTGGCCTCACTATAAAGACTTTTCTGGAGAACATGGATTTAAATGAGACTAGAATTAGAATTGAAATTCAAGGATGAAAGAAAAGATGCTGATACCTGAATAAGGAAGAGTTGGGGGAGAATATTTTGAATTTATATATTATGGTTGATCGAATGTTTTCATATAATCAACCTCCATTCATCTTTAGAGCAACTCCGTAAGCACCTCTATTTCACAAAGAGGGAAGTAGTCAGGAGACGAGATCAAAGATGAAATCACGGAGGATCTAGGACAAAGAGGTGAGTTTGAGGGGAGATGATGAAGGAAAGTGATTCATTATCTCCCAACACTCTAGTCATCACCACCTTTTGGATTCCATCCGTGCTTCTCTGCTTGAGATAAAATAGTCACTTACTCTAGAGTTATCAATGGGCAAGTTAACTTAAACTGCTATTGGCACACTACAACTTATTTTAAGATTTATTTTCTTAGCTGGTTAGAAACACATCAAAGAAGAAAACACTGATGAGCTCTGTGTTGGGAACCAAGGATACTGTCCGGGAAAGGGGCTGCTGAGGGCAGGGACTACAGAATAGAGACATGAGAGCAAGAAAGTGACTAGAGCAAATGAAAACTGGTGAAAGGGGTATGTCATGGCAAGGGTGTGTGCGTGGGGATGGGCAGACTACCCTTAAAACCAGAGGTGCACAATTTTACGGTGATTAAAAAGGTGTTGTTAAAAAAAAAAAAAAAAATTTAAAATAATGCCAATCTGAATTTGGAGAAGGCTATGAAAAAAAAAAAAATTAAAAAGTCTAAACAGACCAGAAAACAACAGAGATGTGAAGAGAGGCTCTACTGGTCCAGGCAAGCCAGGGCTCTAGATCAATTCTCAGAGTTGACTAGAGTTGAATTACTAATTCCTGGCCATTTCCATAAAATGTATACCTACTTCTCAAGGAACTCTGGTAGCGTAGTGGTTACAAATTGGGCTGCTAACCCCAAGGTCGGCAGTTCAAAACTACCAGCTGTTCTGCAGGCTTTCTGCGCCCGTAAAGATTTACAGTCTCGGAAACTCTGTGCAGGGTCACTATGAGTCGGAACCGACTCCATGGTACTTAACAACAACAATTTCTCACTTATCAACTGTCTTGTTATCCAACATTCCACATTTACAACCACAGTGAAAAATTTGCTATCTATTTTGTGCATTAACAATTTACATATGATAGTAACAAATGCCGAGTTATATTATGAGGTAAGAGCGACACTGGCTGTGATGCCTAAGGTCATGTGTCAACTTAGCTGGATCATGCTCCTCAGTGATTTGGCAGTTAAATCATGATGTAGTCATCCTCCATTTTGTGATCTCATGTGGTCATCTTCCATTTTCACGTAACACTGATTTTTCCATAACAACCTAGTCTTTGGAACCTAACCATGCCAATAAGTGGGAAGTGGATGCATTCATGTTCTCTTCCTCAGGAGCCAGCTTGTCTAAGCATGCCAGATAACTCACAGGAAGAAACAATCTTTGCCATTCCTGATAAGCACACCTTTTTTTTGTCCAAGCACTACCTTCACAAGGGTTGTAGCCAAGCATTCCACCTCAACATCCTTGTAGGTATTAGTGGTATGTGAGAACAAGGCAAATTAGATTTCTGAGGTAGAAATCTACAATTAAATATGGGAAATACAATGCTCCTTGAAACAATTCACCCAAGCATCCAACCCACCTCAATCACATACTAGAGTCTCTGAACTGTTCATTAAGTACTTTGTGTACCAACCAGACCATTGGTGAAAGTTTTGCTAGGTCATCTCTACATAACTGTCTGAAAACAAAAAAGGAAAAGCATTTGATTACAGAAAGCTTGTAAGCCTGCCTTCAGCCTATAACTGATTAGCTAAAAGGGGACATCGAATTTGCCCAGGGAAACAGGCTTCTTGTGAAATCTTTGTAGAGTATGGGGCCTTAGGTGGAATCCTGAGCCTGACCCAGCATGTTCTGGGTTAGGACATTCCCAGTTTATACGACAGGCAGACGAACCCAGAACTGCTGGGAGAACAGAAGATTCTTATTGAAAGAAAGAGCTGCAGAAAAAAAAAGTATGGATTGTTTGATCAAGCAAGCTATTTGCTTTAGAGGCATCAAGGCAAGGGAAATCCCCCCTTGTGGATTGAAATTAAAAGGGAGCCCACAAGCAGTCTAGTATGCTGCTTGGTGACCACCTGGGTCTACTTTTGAGTGGAAGTGGGGGAAATGCAGCATTGAAGACACGGGCTAAGTTTGGTCACATTCCATTGACACCTGTTGACTGTGAGATGAGAGAGAGAAGAGGAAGGGCTGACTGGTCTGAAATTTAGGGAGATGTTTGAGGGCTAGGGTTGAAAGTGAAGCAGCCAGCTGGTCTAAAGCAGGAGGAGGTGTGCGTGAGCTCTCAAACTTGCAGCCAGGACCCATGTGACCTAGCTGAGATGGTTAGTTGACCAGAACTCGGCCAGATAAAGATAAAGATGTTTGATACTGTCTATCCACAAGTGTAAATTGCTACAATTTGATGAACTGGACTTTTTTTGCTTATGGATGTAGTCGCTCAAAATTCCAACCAGAATGAAAGGATTCTTCATATCAAGAAGCAAGCTCGTTTCTTCAGTGTACTGGGTTGACTGTTGTTGTTAAGTGCCGTCAAGTCAGTTCCGACCCATAGCAACCCTGCATAGGGTTTCGGAGAAGCGACTTGTGAGCTTGAACTGTCAACTTTGCAGTGCCAGCACATTAACCCACAGGGCCAGCCAATTCAAACAATGGCTATCAAAATTGGGGGTGGGGGCACTATAAAGGCATGAAGTGGCTGGCTTACAGATTTTCATTAATGTGCTCAGTTACATAATGAGGGGGTAAGGTAGAATCCCCACTAAATAGTTTTCCTCTTTTTCATATGGATCTGGTGAAAGGGGATGGGGGATGATGCTGATAGGATTATATAATTCAATTGTAAGTGATTGTTAACAGGATTCATTGTGATGGTCACAATTGTAACAGTAAAAGCTATATAACTAAAAGGGGGCGAGTAGTTAATCTTTCATTTCAGGAATAGACGATCCCAGGATCATTAAGAAGGAAGAGCATGAGTGGAGCGTGAGATCCTACCTAGAAAAGCGAGGCAGCACACATGGTGGCAGAGGCAATGGTATGCAGAGACAGAGCAGCTAAGAACTCTAGGCCCCTGGACTGAGAAAGACTGTGTGTCTGTGGGCAGGTGGCTGGCTTGTAGAATGTGCTCTTTGGATATTTAAATGAATATATATTTTTTGTTTTGTATGTGTACATAATAGTTTTGCTTTGTTCATTTGTGAAATAGAAGATGTAAATGGGGAACCCAGAGAGGAAGTAGAATAACTAACTATTGTTTGCACGGAGGGGATTGTATTCATTGAGATGTAAAAAGTATCTGATTTGTTGAATATAAAGCTGATGATCTTGTCTGTAAACGTTCACTCAATTTACAAAGGAAAACTAAAGAAGCAGCTACGATACTCTTGTACCTTGAATGCTTCTTTTAAAAAAGGCCTTACATCCTTCACACGACCAGACTCCGTAGTGATATCCCGAGGCGTAATCGCTGCAGACGGCACAGAAGTGGGCATCCCTCTTTGTGCTTGGACTAGTGACAGGGCTGGTGCAACTGCTCCCACTAACCTTCCTTTTCAAGGTCTCTCTGGGAGCAAAGAAAACATTCATTGTAAAAGAACATACGGGAAAAACAGACGCTTTCCAGAGAAAAAAAACAACATGAACATCGCCTAATTGTGCCTCTTTGCCATTCAAATAGATTCCAGGAAATTTCATAAAGCAAAAGCTTTGTTATTGCTGTCATAGTCATAAAAGAGTCACATGGTTGCTAATGACTGATCTTTTAAATTGTTTAAGTGAGTTTATGCCCATCAGTGCAGTGCTGATGAACTCTGGTAACATGGAAGGCCAACTATGGCCATTTCTGAGAGGAAAATAAACACTAGCGAAGGAAGTGACCAGAAAGAACAGTACCCACAGGTCAGAACCACAAGCAGGATATATGGTGGCCCCTTGAATCATAAGGAAGTGTCAACTGACCAGCCCTTCCGCCGTAGGAGGTTCCCATTTAAACAGGGTATAAAATCTTTCATTCTGCAATCTCTGAGAAAGGGCTGAAATGAAACTCATCTTACTTCTTTTAGTAAAAACTGGGCTCTAAGTTACAATACTATTTGTTGTTGTTGTTAAGTGCAATACTATACTTGGGTTAAAAAAAGAGAGAGAGAGAGAGAGAGTAGAAAGATGAGAGAGAGGAGAAGAGGGAAAGAGAGTCAACAGGCACCTGTCCTAGTAGGATATTTGGAAGCCAGAAGGCATTCAATGCTGAGGTAAGAAGTTTCACTGGGCCTGAGAGGTACCAAAGCAACCTGGCAAGTACCCTAATTTTGCTAGGGCATGTTTCTTTCTGAAAGAAAATGGTAAAGGTTTTATAGGTTTATAAATGAAAAGTAATTATAAAATAGTCTGATTTGTCCAAATATTAACAAAACTCTGATTAGAATTCATGTTCAGAAACAAAATGAAGCAAGGGACTGTAAGGTAGGTTTGAATTGAAAAGTCAGCGGTTCAAACTCACCAGCCACTCCTCGGAAATCCTATAAAGGGTTATTATGAGTCGGAACCAACTCTACAGCAATTTAATGAAAACAGCAACATAAAGGCTAAATGAAAAATAGAATCTTGAAAAAGTTATCTACAATGTTTGCATTTTCTTCTTTTTCTATCAATAAGTAAGTTTTTTAACAAAGGAAGAAAAATAAAATTACTGGGTAATATTATTTCTCCAAGTTTTATGGTAACACTTGAAACGAATGCATTCCAATATTAGATATGCTATAAATTCCTTGTATCCTGGAAACAATTTGCCATGAACACTAAATTGTATTCACACCATAAGAATCTAACCTAAAAGTAAAGTAAAAAGCTCTTTTTCAAATCCAAATGTCTTCATCAAGAGAAAAATAATTAGTAAAGTTCAATGAATTCTTCCCCAAACACCTATCTATAGGCGTAACTTTTTAATACGGACTAGAATACCTAAAAGGAGCTCTGGTAGTGTAGTGGTTACAAATCGGGCTGCGAACCTCAGGGTCAGCAGTTCGAAACTACCAGCTGTTCCACAGGAGAAAGATGAGGCTTTCTGCTCTGGTAAAGATTTACAGCCTCAGAAACCCTGTACAGGGTCGCTTTGAGTCAGAACTGACTCCAAGGCACATAACCACCACCACCAGAATACCTAGAGAGTGCCTTATATCATTTCGGGTCTCAAGTAATCTATATGACTAATAAGATAAAGGAATCCTGGTGTGGTGCTGTGGGTTAATGCATCAGACTGCAAAACGGTTTGAACTGCAAGGTTGGTGGTTCAAGCTCACCAACTGCTCCTCCGAAACCCTATACAGGGTTACTATGGGTTGGAACCGACTCGACAGCACTTCACAACAACAACAGTAAGATAAAGATCTTGTATAAAGCGTATCTTTCTTATCACTAAATCATAAAGTACTTTGAATAGTGGCCAGGAACTATAATTCAGAACAAAGACTGAATTTACCTGTTTACAGGTAAGGTGTGTTCTAGTGATCTTGCTTCACACCACGGACTCTTTTGAGGTTCTGCATACAGAAGTGATGACTGGCAATGGATCGCTAAAGGAGACAGGTGTCCAGGAGTTGGCCACAACACATTTGGGCCTGTGGCCTGTCGACCAGGTTCACCTTCAGAGTTACTGGCACTGCTGGGGATACTGTAATTCATCACAGTGGGGCTATAGAATGTCATGGCTGAATATTCATGGTGGCTTTCTACATAGGAGGAAGGAATATATATGGGGCCGTGCTCCAGGGGAAGGACAGACTGACTGCAGTTGTAGGAGACAGGAGAGTTAAGGCTAGATGGTGAGTTTTTGATATCCATGTCTTGAACAGGAAATAGCTGAGAAAACTCCTTGTGAGAAGAGGCACAAAGGGACATTATAATGTGCTCACAGACTCAAGGCAGGGATAATGGCTGGAAAGAAAAACAAAAACATCACAAAGTTAGAGTTATAGTCTTCA